CCATATTTTATATATATTATACATATATTTAACAGCATATAAAATTTATTTTGATATTATAAAATATTGCATTTGCTATTATATATAAAAATATTTAAATGGAAAATAGCGTCATGTAATATGCATTACAATTTCGTGCGATAAAATCTCAATAACAGTTGTTATCCAAGGATAATACTCAATGTCTCTGTTCGTGTTTTCAAGCTGAAATATTTCGCTGGAAAGTTCAAGCGTTTTAACGGATCCAACGAATAATATTGTACGAATATAATTGAGTTTTTGTCGGAACATGTATCTACCGTAATCCTGAAAATTGACGCTTAAATATGGATACATATATACTTTGTTATATCCAATCACATACATCCTATGTTTTCTTTCATAGATCGATAGTTCGCACGCAAAAAATTTTTTATAGACTATCACACACCGTTTATACTTACAAAATATTCAATGAAATAGATTGAATAAACTTTTTAATCTATCAATCAATAGATTTTGTATGAAATATACACCATGTTTGTGTCTACACAGAATTCGATATCATGTAAACAATTTCTATTCTTCAACGGTAAATTAGTAATAATAAATCAAATAGTGAATTATTTAATAGATATAAAATATAAATCAAATCGATGGTGTTTAAAAAAAACGAAAAATAATCGTATTTATTTTAACTTGCATATCTTCCTTTTCTTTCTTTATTTTTCAAAATTTTATAAAATTCTTTATTTTGTATTATTACTTTTGTATAGCTATTAATGCTAATAATTTATTAATGCTAATAATTTTCAAAATATCGGTTTTTGCACTAGCACTTTATTTTCTTTTTGGCTTCATTCAATATAAATTATTATTGTTTGGTGATAGCAAGATCTTGAAAATGAATGTTTCCGCAGCAGTGATAAATATATCATATAGATTCAAACGCACATGATATCGATGCAATCAGAACATCATGATGCCATTTCAAATTGCGCGACGATTAAAAAGTTATGACGATGGGATTCATTTGCTTTCGTTTTCCCTCTGCGATTCTCTTACAATATATTCGCAATTAGCGGAATATTAAATTCTCGGCTTGGCTTGCATGTCTCTTCTAGCAAAGCATATGTGTTATTTGCACGCGAATACAATCGATATTATTTAAGTTGTAGGCATTCGAATTTAAGGCCAATTTTAAATCTATAATTTGCGATAAAATAGAATTCTACTTATATGTGTCACATGTGTATGTATGATATATTTATATTTTGAATATATATATCTATTTTATTTTTTCAAATAGTTTTTGTATCATACAATTGTGAAATTATAAATAGAATTGTAAAAAAATTTTGTCGCGGATTATTGACTCTCTAAACTTACTTTCATTTAAATATTTAAATTCATGTGAAATATTCATAAAAATATGTATAAAATTGTGAAATCTGAAAACATGCATGTAGTTGCAGAAAACATGCATGTAGTTGCAGAATATACATATATATTATTGAAGTTTATTTTTTATATTGAAAAAATTATCAAATTAATAACATATTTTGTTTAAAGAAACACTTTTTATGTGTTATTCTACTAATATAATTTCATAGCATTAAAAATTAATTATTTTTCTCTTTATCTTTATGTATTATATGTTGCTGAAAATATAATTTGTAGATTTATTAAAAATTTTGCAGTTATATGAAATTTATATGTTAAAACCGTTTTCTAAAATTGAACTGTTCGTGTTGGTTTCGTTACTAATCACCGCAAGTTCTATTATTGACTATAGCTGCTAGGAAAGAAACCACTACGTGCTCCGCAGTAATTAACTCCTACTAGTCTGTATGTGCAAAAAGCACATTGCGCGGTGGCAGTTAGTTAGAGGTAATTTGCTAATCTAATTGACGGCAACTTTATCATTTTATCATGAAATAATTGAGATAGATCTTTTCAATTTATCAAATAAAAATGTATTTAAAAAGTGCAATATAAATAAAATATTAATTTAAAGACTTTACGGTAAAAACATTTTTATGGTAAAACATTTTATATAAAATGATTGCTTATTATAAATATTATAATAATTCTCTAATTTATTATTTAAGAGAATTAAGTGTTATTAATAATTTCTTTTAATGAGTGTTGATATTGTATTTTTAAGAGAGATTTTGTCGTTTATATATATATATATATATATATATATATATATATATATATATATAAATCTAACAAGAAAACAGCAATTTCCGGATTTTAATGAAAAATAATAAAATTTGAAAAATAAGAAGACAATGAATGTTTTTCAGTGTATTAGTTTAATTGTAATTTGCTATGTTAAAGTGTCACATTTCTTCAGTAGAACAAAAGATAATGGCGGTATATTCGGTTTTGTTTCGGCTAATTGTACAAATTAAGTTTGTCATTACCACGCTATGTACTGCAGTTAAGGAACACCGGCAGTTTCGTTTACTCGTGCACATTTTCATCGCTTCCATCTTGTCGGAAACGATGTTTTTTTTGTATTTTACTGGTTCTCTTCTTTTGTTTCGTATTGTTACTAATGTTCATTAGAGGTAATATAAAATAACTTGATATGTCAAATCGTAAAAACTATTAAAAATTATTTCTTCAAGAATATTACTGATTAATATAATACTTCATAAAATGTAATGTTATAAATTTCAAAATTCAAGTCTATAAAATTTATATATTTCACAAAATATATATAATAATTCTGTTTTTGAACGCTTATTTGTGCAGCAATTTACCGAAGATGAAAAAAAATAGAAAAATGTGAAAAATATCGAAATATCTCTTTATAAAATAAGTAATTGTGTACAAATCAAATTTTCGCTGGATTAAGAGAAAAACATGCGTTGATGAAATACGTAGACTGCACAAGCGTATGCGTATAATTGCAGGTGCACGTGTAAATTGTAACGAAACACATCAACAACCGACGAGGTCTTATGACCTACTGAAAAATAAATGTTTTCATGGAATATACCGTGCACGGAGCTTTACGATTTAGATGTCGACGTTTGAAATGAGGCGCACGTTGCACCGGAATTTTGCAGTTTTACCGCAATCGTTTCTCCCGACTATTTTCCCTTCCCTTCCTTCCTCCCTACGCGCATCATATTTGCGAGATGCAATAAGTTGCGTTAGCTCCTCTCGTATTTCTCCTCACGATTGCTGTAGTGCCATGCATTATCATGGTAAGGACCAGGTCTGGCTATATTCTCTTGGGATCTCGAATGATCCTGACGTGCGCAAGTTAAAGCCTCCTTGTGTAGTATCGGAGATCGATTTGTTCTGGATATCTGATAGCATAAAATTTCTTATCGTTCAATAAAAGGCGCAGCATGTTAATTTTATAGTGAGTTAAAGGGAACGTAGAACATTTGATTTTAAAAGTTTTTTTATCTGTCAACGAGAAATTTATTAAAATATATATATATATATATATATATATATATATATATATATAATTTTTGAAGTACTATTGTTCGTTTAAAATAAAATATAAATTTTTTTATCCAATTATTGAGATAAGATGATTCATGTTTTTTACATTGATATATTTGGATAATTATTGTTTCATGATATTCAATCGTTAAGATGTTATAATAAATATATTTAGTAAGTTGTTTGACTCGAATAGCATTTCGTCGTCTTGTCTTGGTTAAACGATCTCATTAAGTTCTATTTATATTCCCGTCTTATATGCAAGCATTAAGATTTATACATAAATTAACTACTAACGACTTACAGTTAAAAGCGTTTGCTCTTTCATCGCGGTTTTCATACATATAGTATATTCTCGAAAATGGGCTAAGTCGCGCTGAAGTTTCGTCCTAGATACGTGTACGGTGATAAATCTGTGTTAACGTAAGCGAGACAATGTAATATAGCATGTACAGTGTCGCTACATGTCATTCGAAATTTCTGCTTTTATTTGCTATCTATGAATTGTGGTTTATATAAAGAATAACAAGATATACTGATACTGATATTCACAGTTTAATGTTTATACCAGATGTATTTCTGAAATTTTTATTTTATGACCTGTCAAATTTTTGAACGTAAAGAAGGCAGAGGTGGGAGGAATGGAGAAAAATTCATGATAAATCAATAAGATTTACTATTCAGTTAGCTCTACATTTTTACATACAAGTGAATATACTTTTTAAAAATTTATTGTTGTACGCATAAATTTTAAGATCAATGTTTAAGGTCAATGTTTTTCAAGTTTTTAGTTTGCATCATATAATTCTTTAAATGTTCTTGAAGTAAATAAATTGTAAGATGAAAATATCTCTTTTTACAACCATTATTTTTACTTACATATATTTCACTTATATTTCATATATCTTTTTTATGGTAAAACTTTTACCATGTTCTTTTTAATTAACGGTTTTCTTAACTTGACTAGAATGAAATATGCAGAGAAGCAAAAAAGATATTTTTGATATAGGCCAGTAGTAATGCATGTATAAAACTCTAAATTTTTGTGTAATTTTTATATTATTTATAATATAATATTTATTATATTTTTAAAGTAATTCGTAATTTAGTTTTTAATAATATTTTTATAAGTAATTATGTATTAATAAATTAATATAATTATTTATTAATGAGATTTCTTTGTATATATGATATTGTTCTTGTTGATTGATGTTATGTAATTTAATAAACTAGGAACATCATTATTAGATAAAATATATCTCAACAATTTGCGATATAAATGCAAGATACACGTATTGCAATTTGCTGCATCTTTCGATCTCTGTCAAGAGATTATCATGCCCGAATTACACGAATGAGGATGCTCGTTAATCATGGTAATTTGTTTAACATGTCAATTAATTATCGACTCTAGTCAACCAGACGTGCAAGTTTCAAAGAGCGCTACTGAAAGCGAAAGATTCATATTTCAACGTAACGTTCCGCGTTTTATCCTGACGTCATTGCATTTTCCGGCGAACGCAACATTGAAGAAGAGCTTCACTTACGGATCGGGTGTATCAATGATGCCAGTAACGGCAGGATCAATAGGAACGGGGCCATGACGGCTTCGATTCAAACGTCCATCTCGCGTTCATTCATGAGGCCGATCTATAACAGAAAAAAGGCGCATGCAATCATATTAATAGTTCTCTTCTCGAATGCAATGAATGCACCGCAGCAATAGGCTCTTCATGTCACCGAGACTGGTGTTCATTATTTCGATAATCGATCAAGTATCGCGTTGGATGCGAACGAATCAATTCATCCACTCTCCATTTTATGCAACCGCTTTTCATCCTTTATTCTTTTTTCTATTCGATGCATTTACTACAATTTTTATTGCACCATTTTTCGAAAAACAAAGAGCTCTGATTTAGTTACAATTATTGAAAATGAATTATCTTTCAAATTGACTTTAATATAAAATTTTCAACAAAATTGACTTTAATATAAAATGTATATTATTATGATTTTATTTTTTTTTGTATGTTATTTTCTTTATATATAATATTTAATTATTATATTTAATATTTAATAATTAGTTATACAAATTTATTTAGAATAATAATATCAGCAAATAAACATACTGTAATCTATAAAGTAATTTGAATTGTATATAAACTTACTCTTAAATTTATAAACTTTATATCCTAATATCTTTATATGATTTCATCGACATATTTTACATTTTATAGTAGTGCAGCTATCGAGATAACATAATAACTTAATGTTACAGTCTATAACCGCGATTATAAATATAAATGGTGATGTCGATAAAATACTATTCAAAGATTTTAGCTTCTCCTCTTTTCCTCTCTTTTCTTTTGTGGTTACATATGTGTCTGTTCCATATTAAATAATAATATTTATATTCAACCCAGTTAATATTTAAAAAAAAACTTTTATACTTTTATATGTTTTCTTACATACTTAATGTCTGTCAAATGTGTTGGTAACTTATATTCCGATATTTCGTATGCAAAAACTTGGTTTGACCTATTACTTTTTTTATTCTAATCACAATATTTGCTGAAAAAACATTTGCGCACGATAAAGCTCTCAAATTATGCAAACTCTCGTAAAACCAGCGGTTTTTAATAGGTATCTCGTCAGTAATAATGGAGAACGACGGAAGCTTATTCGCAACACGCTTAACTTTGCTGCACTCGAAGCAGCAGAGCTGTCTAATGTGGATCATGTTCGTCATTATTAGCTCGAAGGAGAAAGGAGAATGAGGGCCATTGCGGAAGAGAGAACAAAAGATGGATAAGGAGTATAATGGAAAACAAAGGAGTTTTCAACGAGCCTCGTTTGTGGCCCTCTAAGTCCCATCATATTCAGAGATTACGTATATTCCTTTACCGAAATTATGGTTGATATATAATATTGCGATATTGACTGCAATTACAATTAGTGATGGAATCAATTTGCGACATTGATTCTGATTTAATTCATTTATCAAAGATTCATTTCGCGAAATCGTATTGATGTAGTGAAATATGTGAAGTACTCGATTTCGAAATTTGATGCTGTTATGTGCCAGAGTGATTACTAATTGATCATGTAATAATGTATAACGATAGCATTAACGATAGTATCAAATGTTTCAAAGCAATAATAGAATGAAGATATTTTTAAAAATTTCGTTAATAGAAAAATTTTGCATACCATATGTAATAATTAATTACATTTATAAAAATTTTCGAAATATCATAAATTCAGATAATCATTATCTCATTTTAATTAATAGATAAATGAAAATCAGATTTGTATTAACATTATATAATCAAAATTATGGACTTCAAAATTAATAAATAATATGTGAATAATATGTTTATCGATTTTTTTGGATGTTTTAATTTTTATTACTAAAGTGTATAATAGATTTAAAAAATATGTTATTCTTTATGTGATGTAAGATTTAAAAAAAATTTTTTTAAATCTTACATCTGAAAAATTCGAAAGCTTCAAACACACACGTGAAATCTTTCTATTAAAAGAAAAAATATTAATAATAAAGTATATCGAGTGAATCAAAACATCAATTCTTCTTCATAAATTATGCAAATTTGTTATTTGTTATGTAATTATCCCTTTGTTACTAATTATAACTTGTATGAAACTATTTGTATCGATGGTCGCAATACTGTCTTACTAACAGATATAGCTACGACAAATGCGTTCCTGTATCACGGACGTTGATAGACATCGACAATGTATCGACAATGTTAATCTATTTCGCCAAAGGGCTACGCCGTCCATTTCCATGTTACTTGTATCACACAGCAGCATCGGACTGTAACTTAATTTCCATAGAAGTACTGTAGGAAGGTTTAATCAAGTTGGGAAGATTTTTAGTGCACTTGCTTGCGTGACAATGAGTGAATTAATTGAACTTACGAATTTAACTTAACGAATCGTTAAGTACTACAGATGTACAATATTTATAATTCGTTTGAATGGTATAATCGAAAAAGATATATCTTTAGATACAAAAGTAAAAAAATTAGAGAAAATAATTCTTTAGTAGGTTTAACAATAAATTTCCAATAAATGTTTCTAAAAAGATTTCTGGTTATACATGAGTTTATAAAATTAGATTTAATCACATTTCCGAAAACATTCAAATTTACTTAAAAAAATCTTGTTAATTATATTTAATAATTTAATTGTAATTAATTATAATTACAATTATAATTATTTATAATATATATATTTCGTGTTCGTAAAAAAATTAATTTGACAATTTCTTTTTGTTAAAATTAAATCGACTTCTCTAAAATAAAATGAAAGCTGAAAAAAACTGGCTAGAAATAAGCAATCAATTGTAATTCATCGATCTCGATGTGATTGAACTTTTTTCGCTTCAATGAACGGATATTTCCGCTTTTCGACTAAAAATATTTTTTTTTTGCATGAATTTGTTAAACCTGCTCTGGGCAAACGTTTATCTTGATATTTTACATGTTAACCCAGATTACACACAGAACCGGATTTACTCAGGTCTACGTCACAAACCGTCGAGGACCCATCTCGAATTACGTAAACCGCGAACGAGACCTATATCGATCAGATTGATTTCAACGTGAAGCAGCTTTGCTATGCGGCTCCGCTTCAACCAACCGAACTAAAATGCACTCCGTATTAAGGGAAAATAAAAATAGCATGTATAACATACTGAAAAAGTGCAGTTGGTATACGGCAAGTAGGGTTGCCGATGCTGTAAAATTTCTTTCGCTTCATATTTCATATCGGACGTACGTGTATGCCGGGCTTTACATCTACTTTCGCTACTGTCTTGGCTGCTCTCCTTCAACCGATCTCACGGCACGGTTGCTCTCCCTTTCGAACTGTTTTTTTATTCCTACTCCGAATGTTCGCGATGATAAATAGTTAGCTCTACCAAGCTGCTCAAGTCGTAAGGTTTAGAAATTATTAGTCTTGCACGTTTTCTCGGCGTGGGTAAAAAAAGAGAAGAAAAAAGAAACCCGTGCTATTTCTCGCTGCAGTATTTTCACCAACTTTATATCTACTTCCTCACTCAACGAAATTTTATATAATGAATGAACGTTCATTTGCACCTCGAGTTAAATTTTAATTCGTAATTTCTGCGAAGAGAAATTAATTGATATTATCCTGATAATAAGTTAATAAATTTATTATTGATTAATAGCGTTGATTTGCGGCGTTAGAATAATTACCACAATTTCTAAGTTAATTAGAATTTGATGCGTATGTAATTATAAACTTTAGATGCGATCAGCATTAATTAATATTTCATGTTTCAATCTAGTGGAACGAAAGTGAGTGGATGATGATCTATATAATAATATATATAATATACCGAAATAATCTCTTTCTATATTAAATTTAGATTGAAATCACAGGCTACAACACATCGTTGTGCATGAAAAGTTACTATCATAATTAAAAAAATTTATTAATTTTATTATAAGGCTGTAAAAATAAGAAGCATATAAATAGGAACTTTAAATAGGAACTTTAAATCTTATTGATTGACAAGTTTTTATCAAAAAACTATTATCTAGATAAATAATTTATAACAAAGAACTATTGGTGTTGTCTAACGAAATCTTTACGATTTTAATTATAATTGAATTTTATAATTAAATTGTTAAAATAATTTTATAATTAAATAATTTTATAATTAAAATAATTTTATAATTAAATTTTTAAAATAATTTAACATTATCTTTCATAATTGAACATTTTCTATAATTTAAACTTTTACAAATTTTGTTTTACATAATTTAAATTTAAATATTAATTGTAATATACTTAAAAAAATGTTTAGTGTATTGGTGTGCGAGAAAAAGCTCGATAATAACAATTAAATATCTCATGTTCATAAAAATTTGTCATTATAGAGTGTACAGTTTTATAATGTAGAAAATAAAAATCGAATAAAAAATCGAATAAAAAAAGTTTAAGCTCTACGATCTTGCAATGTTAATGGTCGGTGAGAAATGATGTAAAATTTTGGTTGAATCGGATTAGCAGTGCGTGATTTCTCGAGAGCGATAAAACTATTTCTTCCCACAGGATATCCGACGTCGATTCTTCATGGAACTTGAAGGGCGGATAGTCAAACATCCGGGAAATTCCCGAGATGTGTAAGCGCCGGGGAAGAGAATTCGCTTATCGATCGGCAGATGCCTAGCAGGCTTCGCGTTAATAATTCGCGAGTGAGACACGATAAATGCAAATCGCACAGAGACACTGCATGAATATTTGCGACTCGCCGTGGGCGCGATTTACAATCTGCCAGATAAGATACGTATCTTTTGTGTACATAGAACAATCCAAACGTGATATGCTCTGAACCGGAAATCCCGTTTGCGTGAACGCAAGATTGAATTCTAGCAATCAAGTAGTATTGAAATGTAAACTATTATAACTATTTTATTTGATACACATATCATTTAGCAAAGTAAAAATTATAATGGACTTTGATAATATTGTTATGGTATGTTATTATTCATACTATTAATTTATATGTGTATAATATAAATGAAAAATGCAATTAATTATGTATGTTGGATATATATTACATGTGTGTGTATATGGGACGTGTGTGGTATAATACT